TTTATTTAACTTTTCACAATGAAACTTCATTGCTACAGTTTTTATGAGACATTCTTTCTTAGAAGACTTCTCATTTGTCTGGGTCAATTGCTTTCTTGAGTTTAGTTTTTATTCTGGGATTTAAATTTCTTGCGATCTTCAGAATTTCTCTTGGACTGACTTCTCGTTGGTGATTCTTGCAACTTTTGTCTTTTCTCCATTTACTCCTAAATTTTGGCAAAGCATCCATAAGTAGGAATGGAAGTGCAGTGGCAGATAGCATGGTGGTGAAAACACTAGCATGTCTTTCCTTGTAGTCACACTGCTGTAGATTTTTTTTTTTTTTTTGTCAGTCGTGGGGCTTGAACTCTGGGCCTGGGTACTGTCCCTGAGCACTTCGGCTCAAGGTGAACACTCTACTACTTGAGACACAGTGCCACTTCCGGTTTTCTTGTGGTTAATTGGAGATCAGAGTCTCACAGACTTTCCTGCCAGGCTGGCTTTGAACTGCAGTCCTTAGATCACAGACTCTTGAGTAGCTAGGATTAAAGGCCACCAGCACCCAGCTTAGAATGTCTTTTATGCTTGATGTGAAGCTTTCTTTCTGGAGTGGTCTTTCACTTTGATCTTCAAGATATTTTTCCTGTGGTAGACCACCTGTTTTGCTGTTGTATGTCTTTTTTTGTCTTAGGATTGTTTTGTGGAGGTATAAGCATGTCCAAAAATGCCTCATTCTCTTTTTACACTTGACTACTCAGTATAAAATTAATTTCTTTCTGTCTATGCTCACTCTTGGGTAGAATTCTTTATTAATTATCTATTGAATTTACTGATCTTCATTTTATCTGCCTTATTTCCTTATTTTCTTCTCTTCTTTTTTGTCATTTGCTTTTGTCTTTTTACTCTCATTGGTTTTTTCTACCATCGTGTTTTAAATTTCATACTCTGTTATGTTCTTCCTCTTCCTCCTCCACCTCTTTCTCTTCCTCCTCCTCCTCTTCCTCCTCCTCCTCCTCCTCTTCCTTTTTCCTTTTTTTTTTTTTTTTGCTAGTGCTGGGACTTGAACTCAGGGCCTGGGCTTTGTTAATGAGCTTCTCATTAACTCTCAATAACTGCTCAAGACTAGTGTTCTACCACTTGAGCTACAGTGCTACTTCCAGCTTTTTCTGTTTATGTGGTACTGAGTAATCAAACCCAAGGTTTCATCCATGCTAAGCAAACACTCAACCACTAAGCCACATTCCCAGTCCTTTTGTTATCTACTTAATGTTTCATATAACTTTTATGCAGAACATTTTCCTGTGGATACTAGTGACTTTTTCCTGTAAAAATGTTCTCTTTGAGTGTGCCTTGCTGCTAGGTTTGAATGTATGAATGTTACAGTTTTCTGGTGGGAATTTTTTATTTTTATTTTTTATTCATAGTTTGCCTTGGGGAAGAATGTCTGCCCTCCAGTGTTGTGGAAGCCCCATGTCAGAAGAGAGTTGGGGTTTTCCTTCCGGTTCTGTGCCTGTGTGGTTGACTGTGTAGACCACGGACATTAAACCTCAGGTCTATGGCACAACTGTGGAAATGGACTCTCGAGGTCGATTGATTTCTCCAAGAGCAACCTCCACTCACTTCTCTTTATTTTAGTCCCTCCACTCTGACCCTTACTTGCAGAAATACCCAAGACTACCAGCTCCTATTTCTTGAACACGATGCAGTGTAAATAAGTTGACTATCAACTTTACAGTTGCAGTGTTAGGAGTTAGCTTCCTTTAATACTTATCTAGTTTCTTCACCTAACAGGGCATCATGGTGTCATTCCTGTAATTCTGTAATTACTCAGAAAGTGGATATTTGGAGGATTGTAAATTGAGGCCATCCCAGGGCACACAAACAAACAAAAAGTTAAGGAGGTTCTGTGTGGAAAAGAAATAAATGAAGTATGATGGGGCAGGTTGTAATAACTGGTACACAGGAGGTGGATGTAGGAGGCTAGAGGTACGAGGTTTGAACCTAGGCAAAAGCACAGGCTCTATCTGAAAAATAGCTCAGCAAGCATGAGGCCTTAAGTTCAAACCCCAGTACCCTCTACTTCCAATATAAGGAGTTTCTTCAGTTACATCTATTTCATTGTTGAGGTGCTGTGGAGAACACATCCCACTGTGCCTGGTGCATGCTGGCAAGTATGCTACCTTTGACCTATACCCTAAGCCCTTGACCTTCTAAAATTGTGTTTCTGTTGTATCCCTGCTCCTGTCCTTATAGCTTATATCTTTTAAACAAGTCACTGTGCTGTAGTTTTATTGAATACTGCACTGGAGCAGAAACATTGATGTTCAAACTACCCCCTGGCCATGGGCAATCTGCCTATTTTCTTACTGCATGTTTCTTGAGCAGCCATCTTTGTGCCTTTTAAATAGTACTTTTCTTAGCTGCCCTGCTGACAGTTGCTATATAGAATATCTGTTTTAAAAATGTTGACCCAGACTTGTTCACAGTAAATCCTTTGTTTTTTTCTGCAAATCATTGCATCAGAGCACAACAGTAATGATGGCTTCAGGAGCGGCTGTACTTAAGGCATACAGAACCCAGTCTTAATGACAGATTTACAAAATTTAATGTACTTTCAAAAGTCTTTTCCTCTTAGCTATACCATATACTTGGCTTTATAAAAGTGAGCCAGAAATGTTGCTAAGAAGTATTTATCTGTCTATAAACTGGTGGCTCACAAATTTTCTATGTGCATCAGAATCACTGGATAGCTTGGGTAAGTGGATTTCTGGGCCTTATCTCCCAGAGTTTCCTATTCAGAAGTAATAGCATGGGACCATTACTACTGAATGGTGATGCCAATTATAATGTTAATTTTAATGTTGGCATGAGCGGGTCAGCTTTTAAAGATGATGCCTTCGTGTTCCTCTCTCCCTCTCTATCTTCTTTTTCTGTTTTCAGTGTTTTAAGGTGTGTGTTGTCCTGTGTTCTTTCTTGCCTCTCTTCCCTTTATTGGTTTATCTGTTGCCTCTGGCTTTTCTGGTGCTTACCAATAAGAGTATCTCAGGCTAATAGAGGGGACTGACTGTCAAGGGAAGTCCTTCTGTGGACTTACTGCATAAAAGTCACGAATGTGGCCATTGGCCTGTCGTTGGTTGGAAACTTTGACAGTATGGTAGGTGTAGTTGTTTCAGTTTGGAGACTTAACATTGAGATGTTGATATGTAGTAAACACAATATCAAGTTAGGACAAGTAGTTTTGCTAGTTAGTTATTTGGATAGCTGTACATTTTTTTAGAGTTTAATTGAGGGCTTTGAACTGCTAATTATATAGAAAAGGTATTCTAATTGGGGGTGTTAATTAGGAGGGGGGAAAGTAGCTTTTCTGTTAATGAAGGTGAAGAAATTGACAAAGCTTGAATTGAATATCAGAGAAAATGGCCTCTTATCCAGTGAAGTAGCTTAATCCAGTAGAAATAGAATTTCAGTTTCCAGAAAACAGGTTTCATATTGTAGAAATAAGGGCTGGAGAGGTTTAACAAATCATGATTAGAGTGCTGCTTTCTCATTTTATTCCCCTTAGTACAAGATGAAAAGCATTAGAGCTATTATGTCAGCCCAGGGACATGTGCCTCATGCATGTAATACCAGCTGTTCAGAAGGCTGAGATCTAAAGATTGCAGTTCAAAGCTAGCCTGGGCAGGAAAGTCCATGAGACATCTATAATTCACCACCACAAAGCCTCAAGTGTAACTGGCTCAAGCAGTAGAGCACTAGCCTTGAGCAAAAAGGTAAAAGAACAGCAACCTAGACCCTGAGTTAAGCCCTAGGACCCACACAAACAAAACAGAATAAAATAAAAAATCCATTGTGATTGGTTCTAAAATGTTTTAGCACAGATGTTTTTTTTCTTTATGTTGGTCAAATTATACAACTGTGGATATTAAGTTCTGAAATTTTCACCCAGACTCACTTGCTGTCCAGTCTTCAGGGTTTAAGTACAAAGTATTTTTTGATTCCAGGAATATAGGAATGATCCAATAAACTTCCTATTTGTCAAAATGCTCCCCCCCTTAATAGAATGAGTGTTTCAAAAGAGAAAAAAAGAGAAGCTTTAGCAGAGTTAAATAAACAGTCTAGCACATGTTTCCAACATGGTTTTTTAAATTTGCTTTTTTACATTCAAGTTCGGTAATCTTTAAGTGGAATAAATAGACATATATAGATTGTTAACTCTGTAAGACAAGGACTTCTTTTTTGTCACAGTCTTCTGAACACTGAGAAGTATACTTGATCATAGTTCTTAGAGTTCTGTATGCATTGGTATTGTATTACTTAATTAATACCACAAGGTGGTACTGTTGTCCCATGGAATGCAAGCATGTTTCTTAGGCTCATGTATTACATAAATCCTGTTAGGACAGTGCAACGAATTGACTGCCTGTTATGCTTATTGCCTGTTTCAGTTATTTATAAATTTAGCATGTGATTAGTCTTTGATTACATGATTGGATCAGGTAGAGGGATCATAGCTTAAATGAAGAACATTTGGTTCAAATTTTTATAAAATGCTAAATGAGATACCATCTATAAAACTGTAGCAGAATACTGAGGTTCATTTCTCTTTCTTGCCTTTAATTTATTTTGGTTTAAAGGCATTTGTTAAATTTCTATTTGTATTGAAATAATTTCCCCAATTTTTTCTAATAAATTATCATTCAAGGTTACATTGTTTTATTGTATGTTTATTGTCAAAATTATAAAAATTGATGCCAGACCAAGATTGCATGTTTTTACCTTGCTCCAGAATTTTTTTATTTTGCTTTCATCGTTTATAGGGTATTAATCATTTCATTATAAATAGTACTTTATTATATATTGGCCTATTCATTATTTTGTGTAAATAAAATCAACTTATAAGTTATTTTGGTTCCACCTGTATTGTAAACCTAAGCATTGAGAAGTTTGTTTTGTACCTTGGACTTCTAAATCTTCTTATGGTTTAATTGATTTCTGAGTATTTTGATTCTAATTTTTCTCAGAGTGAAGCGAAGTCAGAAGAGGGCCCCGGTTGGACGATCCTCCGCGATGACTTCATGATGGGAGCATCTATGAAAGACTGGGACAAGGAGAGTGATGGCCCAGAGTGACGGCAGACCAGGATCTATCTGCAAGTGACTCCGACACATAGCATAGGAAACAAATGCTTCATCCTCTGACAGGGAGTTATATAGACGTCATTTGTTTAAAAGTTATCTTTTCAGCCTTTGTAAAGTTTTAAGTATTTTTTCCTCAGAATTTGTACAAAGTAACATTTCTGTTTGACAAGAGATATGTATTTGCTAGAATCATTTTATGTTTACACATGTTGATTATATCTGTTGGCGTGTTGCTAAAATTACAATACCAGCACCTAATTACAGTGGACTCTCAAGTTCATATTCCTCTACCTGTCAGTATCTGTACTATAAAGAAATAATTGGTGTCCTGTTTGTTTGTTTTGATAAACTATTGAGAAGATTGATGTAGTAAAATTAAAAATTATAATATTTCTCATTTGGGGATATTGCCTTTAATTTTCATGAAAATGGCATTTAAGAAACATGAACTCTACTTTTATGTCTCTTCCTTTTATATGCCAAATAATAAGTAGTTAGGTGGTATTTGCATCAGTTACTGAGTTAGAAATTTTCATATTTAACTTATCCAGTGAATTAGGATGCATATTTAACATGCTTTAGTTAGTGGCTCTCTATTTTCCCTCCTCTAATTATTCAATTAGCTTAAGTTTTCTGTAATAGACTGCCAGCCATCGAAGTGATGGAATCATTAAACAAGTAATCTGTATCAGATACTGCATCAGATTTGAGAGTTGCTTCCATATTTTGTCCAAAAGGTTATGAAATTGGATGACCTTTGGTGTGTAGTTGTTAAACAAGAAGAAAAGAGAAAGAAAGCAAGACTTTAATACCCGTTCAAAATTTCTGTGAAACTTGGCCCAAGCTCTAAAGTTTATAAGGGAATTACTTAATAAATATGATCTGTTTCTTTTTGAAAATGATCCATCTCTTTCCCCATCTTTCCATAGTAAAAATAATTCCTTCCTACCACCCAGTTGTCCTCACTTGCATCTGTTAAATATTGAAGGATAATCCTCCCTCCAAACAATGCACTGGAACTGAGATGTTTATATTGTCAAACTCTTACGAGTTTTGCAAGTGTTGTATGAATAAAGTTAACTGAGCCCCTGCCTTGGTACATTTTATCATAAAGGAAAGTTGTATGCCCAGGGTATCAAGTGGTTAAAATAATAAAGCTCAAAATGCCTTTTTATGTTTGTCCCATTTTGTTATTTTAATATAAATAAATATGACTATTCCTCAGCAATTATACAGAAATGGCAAATATCCTGAAATAAATAACAAAGCAGATAAATATTTCAACATAATGTGACATAAATTTTGAAAAAAAAAAAACATGAGACACCCAAAAACTTTTGTCTCCCCAGAACAAAAAATTGTATTTTATCAAATTGTTGATGGGTCATACTAACAATTTCCAAATCTTTTTCTTGAATGTCATGCTCTGGTGATTAAAGCAGATAAATAATTTCTTCTTGACTGAAAAGTTTTCTTGAAGCTTGTACTTTTATAGAATTTTATTTAGGAAAGTTAGGCAAGATTTTCAGCTTGAACAGAAGAGAATATTCACAGATTTTCTTCTTTCAGAAGTGATTTTATTTCATAATAACTAAGAAAAAGGAAGTACCACGTGTTAGAAAGCTGTGACATGGTTTTGTGTTACAAATGAAAGTTTGCCTGCTATGTTTCTGCGTGTTGCTATGAAATACTTCTGTTTAGAAACTAGTATTTATAGCTAGGAATCTAATGGAGAGCATGATGTTAGGCCAAATGAACCCCAAGATAAGGACTCAAATGGTTTTTCTATCTTGCTATTGTTTCTAACGTATTTATAAGATGATTTCTTTGTTGCTTTGTATGTCCCTCCAAGGTATAACCCCTGTTTTCACTGTATTTGATGATGTTGGTATAATTTGTGGAGGGGAAGGGAAAAAACAAATTGTTTAAATAGGGATACAGATGGGCCCATTGCAACAATGAAATGTACAAGATGTTAGGTCGAAAAACAAACTTTACAACTTGGGGGAGGGGCACAGTGGTAATGGCAGGGTAGGGATGGGAAGAGGAAAGAAAGGAGGAGGCAACAATGCTTGGTAAGAAAAGTACTCATTACCTTTCTCATTTAATTGTAACCCCTCTGTACAGTATTTTCACAATTAAAATAACATTTAAAAAAGAAAGCTAAGTATCGCCCTCATTTTTTTTTTTTGAGGCAGATTTCATTCTGTATAGCCTCAAATTTACTATCCACTTAACTTCTGCTTCCTAAGAGCTGGGATTAAGGTGTCCATTACCCCCACCCAACTGTTAAGTGTATATCTTTAGGGGAATTTTCTACATAGTCTAGCTCTGTTACCTCTCTTTTATATACACCATTTAAATTCTTCTCACATCTGATAATGAATTCTGAATCTATTCTGTATTTACTACATTGTGTTTGAATTGTCTAAGGAGAAAAAGAAAACTGAAGTCCCATTTCTTTGTCTCCTTCATTTATCTCAGTAAGACACTGCTATTTTAACTTTGTTAGCAAGTTATCTAGTAATGAGTCAGTCACTTTCATCTTTATTTTTATGTTTTGCAGCGCTGACTGGGGTTCAAATTCAGAGCCTCTGCTTCTGAGCCATGCTTCCAGTTGAGGTTTTCACTGCTTACTTTCTCGAGAGAGTCCAACTTTTTGAGCTATGATCCACTCACTTTCAGCCTCCATTCCTTGCTGGGTTAACAAGTGCACACCTCTGTGTAGCTTCTTTCTGTGGAGATGGTGTCTTCCTCCACAGAGGGAGGACTTTTCTGCCCTCGCTGGCTTAGAACAGTGATCCTCCTGACCTTGTCTTACCACATAGAATGACAGATGTACATGACAGCACCCAGCTATTGGTTGAGAAATGATCTTGCAAGCTTTTCTTCCTGGGACTGGCCTTGAACCACATTCCTCTCAAGTACCTGCCAAGTACCTAGGATTATGTGTATGAGAAATAGCATCTAGCTATTTCTCTTTTTTGTTGTTGTTGTTTGGTCATGGGGCTTGAACTCTGGGCCTAGGTGCTGTCCCTTAGAAGTGTGATTAATTAAAGTATAGATAGGGTGACCAATGTGCTAAGGAACTCAAAACCATAAGAAAATACCTAAAATTAGAATCAGAAGCATAAACATCTATACAAGTAGGAGTCAGAAAAATAGTCTATGTCCTTTCTTACATTTGGGGTTTGTTTTGTTTGCTTATGCTGGTCCTAGGGCTTGAACTCAGAGCCTGGGCGCTGCCCCTGAGCTTTTTTGCTCAAGGTTAGTGCTCTACTACTTGAGCCACAATTCTACTTTTGGCTTTTTTGTTGCTTAATTAAGTGGAGCTTAGAGTCTCATCAACTTTCCTGCCTAAGTTGACTTTGAATGGCAATCCTCAGAACTCCCTCTCTTAAGTAGCTAGGATTACAGATGTGAACTACTGTCATTTGGCTATATGTGCATTTAAAAAAATTAATACACTTCTGTTAATATATATGTTTGAGTCATTAGTGAAATGGTAAGGGAATTTAATGTTTTCAGAATCTTTTAATAACTAGAGTATGGTTATGTGTAAAATATTGATACATTTGTTTCACATGAGTTTTTAAAACAGCACTTAATGTACTATGTATTTTTTTAACATTTGTAATTTTTAAAAAATTAGGTAGAATTTTGATGTGCTGCTCAGGCAAACCTCCAAATGCTCAGCTCAAGTAGTTCTCTTTCCTTAGCCTCCTGAGGAGCTGGGGCTACAGGTATGTACCACCACACTAGACAACTTTTGTAATTTCTCAGAGAATATACTTATGGGTAGTTTTTAGTAGAAAACCATTTGTTTGTATCATAGATAGAATCTAACTTTAGCTCCCATATTTCTTACCTCATTAATGGAATTTGAAAGTTAATTCAAACATTTAGATAGCTTTGAGTAAGCATCATTATACTAGAATTACTTGAATATTTTGTTTGTGGCAAAATAAGGAGTGATTTTAGTGCTGTAAAGGCCAAAAAGTTGAGTCTCATTTGTTGATGAAAATGTCTGCAATAAGGTCTTATTCTATTATTTGAGTAGTGTGGCAGTTTAAACAGTGATATAAGCCATTTATCTCCCAGTATTTAAAATTACTTACTAAAAGTTAAGCTTTGGCTGGGCACTAGTGGCTCACATCTGTAATCCTAGCTACTCAGGAAGTTGAGTTCTGAGGATAATGGTTCCAAGCTACCCTGGGCAGAAACATCCATGAGACTCTTCTCTAATTAATCACAAAAATAGCTGGAAGTGGAGCTGTGGCTCAGTGGTAGAGTGCTAGTCTTGAGCAAAAGGAGCTCAAGGACAGTGCCCAGGCCTTGAGTTGAAGTGCCAGGATTGGTTGGTGCGCGTACACACACACACACAAGTCAACCTCTGTAATAAAGCTGTTTTCATGGAATCTAGGTTGTCTGTTTATAAGGTAGCTAGAATAATGAAGTCTCTTGTCTAGAGCTGTGACTATAACAGTATATTAGTGCTCAATGTGTTTGCTTTTATTGGGAAACACTTTTTGGTGAGAAAAGCTGAGCTGACTTACTCTTGTTTCAGATTCATATGTTGGAATCAGTATAATTAGAATTTGTCCCCACTGTCTTCTCTTGGTGGTAGGTTTAGAGGCTGTTAAGCCCTGTAGATAGTATGTGTATGAAGACTGAGGTGAATTGACAGATCAGAATTTTGGAAACAAGAAGAGATCTTTGTGCCTACAAAGCCTTTTTCTTTCCTTCCCATGTCAGTCTGAATTGGGGCCAGTTGGGTAGATGAGTTAGACACTGACTACCCACAGCAGAAGGCTTTGTAAGTTTGTCATTAGGTGAGCTCTTCTGAAATCTGGTTAAGTATACTAATCAAGCCTCTAGCAACAGAGAGAGATATTGGAGATAAATATAAGACATTTAGAGAACTGGATAATATTTCAAAACATTGAGTTCTAATGAATTTATTCAGAATTATGCAGATAGACAATATCTTCTAATCATTCTTAAATAATTGTAGATTCCTATTTCCTAGCTTAGAGAATCATTAATATTTTTCACCTAGTTTATTGAACATACAAGTAGGGAGATAGGATTTGTGGCTTTTTATCTTTATGTGTGGTGGGTCTTTTTGGCCTTAACTTTGAGAATACCAGGTCTACCATTGTTTACCTCCCTAATCCCCTCAATAGCATGAGTGTGTGCTCATTTTAATCAGGCATAATTCCTTATGATTTGTCTCTGACATATCCTCTGTGATGATGGAAGATTTATATTGGCAGTGTTAGTGGCTACTAAGCATTTTAAATGTGGCTTGTTAATACAGAGGAACAGTCTCTTTAATTTTATTTAATTCCAAATTGCAAAGCAACATATGGCTATTGAATCTCTTCCAACAATAAAGAGAATAACACTTTTTTTTAAAAAAAAAGCATGTAGTTAGTCTCATACAGTGATTTTTATTTTGAACTTTTCCCATAAGCTTTTAAAGATTTAATTTATTAGGCAATTACAAATACGAGTGTAATTTCATTGATAGAATTTTTTTTATTTTTTAACTGGTTTTGGAAAAAATAAATTGCTTCATAATTATAGCTTGGGCTGACTGTTGTCCTTAAATGTTAGGCCGCTATTAATTATAAATAGATTTTTGTCTTTAGCATGATCACCTGGAGATTCTAGAATGACTGTGCCATACTTCGAAGCTTATTCTGAAAGAATGGTTTTGTGATATACCACAAAGACCTGTTTGAGCAATGATAGAGCCACAGGTAACAGACACCAGGTGAGTACTGAGCTCCCATGTTTCAGACTTGTATGTGGGGGCCTCTTCAATTGAGAGGCTTCTTGAAAAACAGCTTGTAGTTGCAGGACCCTGAAGTGGTTTAAGAGTTTTATTCTGTTGCAGTACATACCACATATACTGCCAGAGCAAATGTAGGTTGCAGATTTGGAGAAAATAGAAAACAAAGAGCACAATGAGTGTTATTCGCACAGCCCATTTAAAATGATGAGGTGTTAACCACATTTGTATAAATAACAGTTTCTCTAACCCCTGACTCATTATCCTGCATTTTTAATGCAATCGCTTCATAAACATCAAAGTGAGAACACCAAATTTGTATGGGGTCAGGACCAACTGGGGCTCAGAATGGAGAGACAGCTAAGAGCTATGTCCGA